GTTAACAGAAATGGAAAACAATTGCATTTATACGCAATACTCTGCCAGTGCCCTGCCAGTCTTTCAGGAGATATTATAGAACCCCCCCTTCCTTCTTTCACTGTGTTAGTTAGTCTGCACTGGTTTAAATCTTTTTAGAGTTGTTTTCTCTGGGACCTGCATGGGACTGGTTTTCCTCTCACCTTCCATGTGGATCCTCAAGGCCTCTCATCATAGTTTCATCTAACCTCTTAATTAATTCACAACAAATCAACGTCCAGTACAGTAGTTGAAGTCTCTCTACATAATCAGCACGATGCTACATAAAGAGAGTTAGGCTTACAAACTCCAGGTGAGAGCATCTTTCAATTAACTTTGTTGTTAGTGCCGTCGATTCCAACTCCTAGCAACTCTGCATACAGCAGAGTGGAATCCTGCCTGGTCTTTTTGGGCCGTCCTCCTACCTTCCAGTGCTATATCAGACAATGCTCTGCTGCTATTCACTGAGTTTTCATGGACAATTTTTTCGGAAGTAGGTGTCCAGGTCCTTCTTCCTAGTCTGTTTTAGTCTGGAAGCTCTGCTGAAACCTGTCCACCATGGTGACCCTGCTGGTATTTGAAATACCGATGGCATAGCTTTCAGCATCACAGCAACTGGCAGCTGCCACAGGATGACAACCAACAGATGGGTGCTGTGGGTCCATGGCTGGGAACAAATCCGGGCCAAGGCGATGAGCACACCAAATATTAACCACTAGACCACCAGGGCTGGCTTTCAACTAACAAGTTTTGTACAATTGGAATGATAAATAGTCACTCAATTGCCTTGAAGAAACTAGGCTTACTAAATTCACTATGAAGAAATTTGGGATTAAAACGACCTAAATAAGTTCTTCTGTATAAAATGCTTTGTAAACTAGAATATACTATAGAAATAAGGTATTATAGTAGTTAATTCTGCTGTGTAAATTTGGTGTTCTTTAAATCAATTGGGCATCCCAAAACAATGAACATTTTTTGGCTCCTGGAGGAAGAGACGACATTACTATGTCATTGGAGGTGGCATTTTATAGAATTGCAAACCAATTGGCTCACTTAGTCATTCTATCTGGCCAAATAGTCATGTGCTAATTCTCTTTCGCCATATTATTGACTGGGGCAGGACACTGTATGTAGCCTTGCAAACTACAGAGAGTTACCTTAATCTTTATTATTACTTCCCTCTTAACATTACCAAGGACCGAGCCCTATTAGAGTAAGCAAACCTGGAGAATGTTTTCCATATGATCATTAACACCTATGTATATAAAATCCCACATAACTATCTGTATAAGAAAAAAAAATCTTAGTTTATATATCTTAAAAAAAAAATCAAATTAGAGAGCTCAAGATACCAACATATTTTAGTCAAGACAACCATTTTTCTAAAAGGCAATATTTTAATTTTGGTTTAGATCAATCAAAAGTAGATAACACAAAACTTCAATTTATTAAATTTAAAATTGTAAATAGTTTTTAAAGCTGATAACCTAGTTGGGTTAGGTTTGATGGGATAAAATGATAAACTAGCCTTCCTGATCCAATGATCAGTAAACATTTGTTAATAATTCCTGCCCAGATTTTACAGTATCAGGGCAAGGAGCACATGGAATTTAGATTTCTAATATAGAGTGTCAGTGCCCTACTGCTGCCCCTTTTCCAGATGCTTCCCCGGGGGCGTTTGGACTGTTAGAACCACACTTCAGAGGAGCCTGGTTACTGTTTCCGTGAATAAGATAAAATGGTGTTTATCCTCCGTCGATCAATACTGTCTTGTTTGAACTTATTGAGTCATTTAGAGACACATAGGCAATGAAACTATTGTGCAATGGTACCCAATGTCCTACCCAGCTTTCAGAGGGATGACAATATTTTAAAAGACAGTTATTGAAACGGATTTTTAACATCAACTGGCTGTGTGATGAAATGAACATACACCGTGACAGGCTGCGTCCTGTGGGTTTCAGTGAAAAGGGCACTGGGCTTTTAACTGAGTTTTCTTGAGCAACATTCTCTAAAATAAAAGTATATTGTGCTGTTTCTAAATAAAAGAAAATGATAGGTGGTTGTCTCTTTCTCCAAATAAGTGGAATAGGGTTTCTATTTGTGACTAATCAAAACGTCGTTATTTATGTACTGTTTTTGATTTAAACTATGTTGGCGTTGTTTTGACAATCGGGAGCTAATGGGTAAGTTTGGAAAGTTTTAGGAAATTTTTGTGGAGTTTCTTAGAAATAAGGAGATGGAAAGGGAAGAGAGTTTTGCTGAATTCCTACTGTGTACCAGGGGGCTGTCCTTAACTGTTTTGCTATATCTTCTCATCTATTCTTCACTGAAGTCTGCCGGACAGATTTTACCCCCATTTCATGTTTGAGGAATTGGAGATTCAGAGAGGTTAAGTAGTGCGCTCAAGGTCACAAACCTAGGGAGTTTTGGAACAGGTGTTCCAACCCAGCTCAGTCAGGAGGAGGGTTCAATGTTCTCCCTATAGTTAGTTTAGAAAGTCTCAAAGATAGGCGTGGTCCTGTTTAATGGAAGATAGCTGGACTTTAAGATGTTTTCAATTCTGATGATTTCAATAGTGATGATTTCAGTTGGTGCTGGTCGTTATGAATACTGGACATGGGCTGTAAACATGATTTGTTCTGGGGCTGGCCCCGTGGCCAACTGGTTAAGTTCAAGTGCTCTGCTTTTGGCAGCCCAGGATTCACCAGTTCAGATCCTGGGCGTGGACCTACACACCATGTGTCAGGCCATGCTGTGGCAGCATCCCATATAGCAGAATTAGAACAACTTGCAACTAGGATATACAACTATGTACTGGAGCTTTGGGGAGAAAAAAAAGGGGAAGATTGGCAAGAGATGTTAGCTCTGGGCCAATCTTCCTTACCAAAAAAAAAAAAAAAGAGAGAGAGAGAGATTTGTTCTTTCTTAATCTGTGTTCTGAAGAATACCATTTCTGAGAGACATTAATAAATGTTCCTGAAAGAAGATGTTCTATTGTATATTAAGCTTAGGAAACAAAATACCCCCTGTTATTCTAGATATTCACAATAAATGAATGTATTTACACACAGAGTGAATCTCCAGTCCTGTGACTACAGTGTAATGGTTACACACCTAGGCTCTGGAGTCAGACCACCTGGCCAGGGACTGGCTCTGCTACTTTCTAACTGAGTGACATTGAGTCTGTTAGGTGACTTATCTGTGTCTCAATTTTCTCATTGGTGAAATGCTGTAATAGTATCTACCTTATGTAGCTGTTCTGAGAATAATATGAGATAAATGCATGGAAAGTGCTTGCAAGTACACTTGGCAGTATAGTGCTTAGTAAATGTCTGTTATTAGTACTCAGAACACTCATGTAGTGACAAGACCTGCTTTAACTGGTCTAACCAACTGCCATTTCCTCAACTTATTTGACAATAGAGTCACTTTTTGTGAGCCACATTTATTAGTGTCCACTGAACACAGTGTAGGAAGTGTCGTATTTGAAATGACACAAAACCAACTTGGTATTAGCCCAGTTGGAAATAATAACTAAATATTCAGTGTTTTTATATCTATGTCATTTTATGTTTGCCCATTACAACTAATTTCTTTTTTCTTGCCAACTCTCTCTCCCCTTCCCTCACACTTGATAAATAGTAAGCTGGAAGAGTAAAATGTGAGAATCGTCTGAAGTGGGCAGAACCAATATTATTCTAGAAAATACGGCCCTTAAAAATGAACCTGTAAGTCTGTGACTCTGTATTTAGCAGGGGAAGCCCTACATACTTTGACGAATAAGTGGTTTCACTTTTACTTCCAGACCTATGCTCCTACTACGTGTACCTCAGCACGTATTATAAAGGATGTTTCAGACCAGACTAACACGTCTCAATTATAACTAGAGTTGAGTTTGCCAATGTATGTTTTGCAAAACACTAATCCTGCACAATGCACAGATAATGCTGTGTTCTTCATCTTCTTGGAGATGCACAATACACATCTGAAAAGTCCTATAGTAAACAAACCTGTTTAATTTGGAACCCATTCTACTTGGAACTTACTTTGGTAATCATGGAACAAAAATATTTCAATGAAAGTTTAAGAGATTTGGGGTAGGAATGGGATATTCCTGGTGAGTGCCCTGATTGATTTCTTTCTATAGATAAAATACCATCATATTCTGGTTGTAAATCATCTTTTTAGAGTGAACAAAATGATCATGTGAAAATATGTCTACTACAGTTTGCCCAAACCATCATGAAAGGAAAAGATCTAATAATTAGCTACCCCAAGGTTGACATTTAACATGCTGAAAGCCAGTCATTTTCCAATGACTGACTTTGTTTTTGTTTTTGCTAGAATGAAAAGCAAATAGCTTAGGGCATGCATTTGGTTAGTAGGATAATGGCAAAAGAAATAGCAAGAATTCACCAAGGTGATTTTTTGCTTTTTGTGGGTTTTGTTTTGTTTTGTTTGTGGTGGTTTGCAGGATAAAGGAGAGGGAAGGTGATAATTGAATATGTGAAGTCTAAAGTATAAGAGGAATTATGACCCATACAGTGAATTCAGAATCTGCCAGTGATGTTCTATTTCTCTTGTTCATTACATTTTTTATGTTTCCCAGATTTCTAGGACCAGGACAAGCAGTCAACCACAACTCTCCTTGCTGTCTGGTTATTGTTAACTAAGATTCACAGAAACATTAGCCCTACTCTTGAACCCGAAGTGGTAAATCTACATTTTTTGAGCCTCAGAAATTGATTAAATCAAGGAGCAGCAGCTGGCTGCCATCTCATCTTTAGATGATATGATCTTTCCAATATATTCTTTCGTTTTCAGGTTGCTTCGTTAGTATAAAAATAACTAGAAAATTCCCTGAATTCGGCTCTGTAATAGAAGAGGGTAAAAGCTGTTTTCACTGCATTCCCACTGATCCACACTGCACAGTTTCCCAGAGTTGAAATAGAAAAAGCAAAACACATGGACCGTACCTGAGCGATTTCAGAGATCCCCACCCGGAAAAGGTTTCCTTGATTATGGCGAATTCAACGTGTTACTCTGGTTATGCTCTAATCATCATATCAAACTCCAAAGGTTCAGTGGCTTTAGGTTTGGTTTACAATTCCTGGGAGTTAAACTTTAACTCACCCTGTCTCTTGCATCCATGCAGCCCTTTGACCAGATAATTGGGTCACTACAGCCTGACAGAATCTACAAAACTACTGTGGTCGTTTGTTTACAAAATTAAAACATATTTTGCATTAAAACCCATTGATGTGGATATTATTTTGGAGCTTTTTTGGTGACCTATATTTAAAAAGGAGAACTCACTGCAATTTGGGTAACTAACTACACTTATTTATGTTAGCTCCTTTGTTTTCTGCTATAACAAAGTAAGATTAAGCCTAAGGTAATTTGGGAGAATATTTGTTTTTTTCTTTTTTTTTTTTTTTTACACTTTTTATATCACTATATTACACAGAATACAGTGTGGAGTTTTAGGTCAAGTAGATAGATAAATGCTGGCTTATGAAAATAAATGTGCAAAGCATTTATATAATCAAGTGAATAGGGTCAGATCAGGTTGGGGAAAGCACGCTTGTTTTTGTACAAGCTGCTCATTCAGATTTTAAGAGGGAGCCGTCACTGTGAGAGCATAATAATCAGCTCTGTACTGGGTTTGTATGAGAGCCGAGGCTTTTGTTCATTGCATGAAATCTTGGTAGTAACTGTGTTTCTTGAAGAATAGAGAAATGGTATTTTCAAAGATGTAAACTCTACACTCTAAATTCTCTGGTAATAGCTCCAGTCTATAGAGGAAATTCCTAAAGGTAATAAAGACCACTTTAAAAAAAAAAAGAACTAAAACTTTCCTAATTTTGAGTAAATTTTGGTTTAAGGGTTTATAAACCATAGGCTCCCAAACTAGAATTAGAGGACACTGTTACTTGGCTTCAGTCCTAGTGAGAGGAGTCTAATTTTCTAGGAACCAATTATTAGCAAAGGCAGTTTGTCTATAGAAAAGCACAGAATGAGCAATCCTCCCATAATATAGACATAGAGGAAGATGAATCAGTTAAACACACCTGGGAATATAAAACAGGGGAGATAAAACATACCGTTGGAATGCTAGTTCTGCCTGCCGTTTGCAGCTGTCAAACGGGTGGAAGCCTTGATTTACCTCAACTTCTCCTAGAAATGCATGACAAGGTTTAACAAAAACACACCAGGAATGGTAGTTTTGCCCTGGAATTTTGCCCCTGGAGTAAGAACTAGGGGAGGCGTTCATGTCCCACCCAGTTAGACAGCTGTATGAGGGTCACATCCCCCTACAACCTCCTTGGGAGTGGATCCCCCACCTCAGGCAGTGTGATTGGTTTTCCCAGTGAAAGCTCAGTCTGGCCTTGTAGAGTTCTCAAATGTGCGGGGGATTCTTACCTTCACTTTACCTGATCCTACAAAGAATTGTTGCTATTCTAGGGCTGTCAGTCCTGGGAGGGTTTTCTTTGCTGTCTTGTGCAGTAGGTGCCTGGATGATGAGAAGTGGAGATGAAGAAAGGAAAGGCAGAGTTCTTAGATATTTGGTGGAAACAGCAAAATACGGCAGGTAAAAGAATGAATTCTATGAACTAGTTATCAAAAAAAGACATTGATTTCTTATTTGATGGGTCCTGGCATTCAACAGAGCAGGGCTATAATCATGTTGAACCAAAGTGTTTGGAAATAAGTTAAAAGAGCCCTAAAATCTGACGATTCAGGACAATTCATTTATTACTTATAAGAGCCAATGGCAGTAATGAATTTGGTGGCATTATTAGGATATTACCAGAAGAAGTTTCTTTTTTATTTTCTGAACCTTATTTAGTTGCAATGGCAGGGAAATGTTGATCAGGAATAAAAAGAAAAGTACTGGATCAGCCTCCCTCTTTCTGAGTGTTGCTCAGGGGGCAGTCTGTGGCCCCGGAACGAAGAGAAACCAATTGATCAGAATGAGATCAAGTTCATGACCTTGATCTCATCAGTTGAATCAAGAGAAATAACAGTGCCTAGAATGGCAAACCTTCCTTTTGCTTTGTAAAAATAAACCTGGATTAGCCCTCCGGGGGCCTCATTCTCCTAGAAGGGACAAAGCAATAGTCAAATAAACTGTTATACAATGTAAACAAACAAACAAATCCGGTTTAAGTAGTGGCTGGTAAATATTTTTTATCATTTATTCTACATTTACCCAGGACCTACTATCTGCTAAGCATTGTGTTAGATGGGTGATTATTTAAAATGAGACTTGAGTCTATTTTTAGGCTGTAAAAGCAATAAACTGGGTTGTATCCAACACATTAAAACCAGAATAGAATAGAAAATATCAAGGGAATTGTATCTATGAAGGATAGGTGGTGTCCGTGAAACTTTGTTTCAGGTTCGTGTATGTGTGTGTGTACTAGTTATGATGTAAAATTTATTGTTTACTATGGAGCACAATTTGAAAACCTTGCAAAATTCTCTGTCAGTCTTTAGGGATTCAGTGGTTAACAAACCAGATACAGGGTACACACATTAAGCACATACTCCCCCCAGTGATTAACTAAGTATAGTCATAATATGTATTATGAAGGAGAAGTAGGATGCTAAGCAGAGTATAAAACGTAGGGACCTGACCTCGTGTGGGACTGGGAGGGAGATGAGGAAAGCCTTCCAGAACACCAGGTATTTAAACTGAGACCTGAGGGATGTGCAGAGGGGAGGGTGGACATTCTAGTAGGTGGAAATAGCACATGTGGATGCCCTGAGTTTGAATGAGTTTGGCACATTCAAGTAACTGGTCAGTTGTGAGGGGCAAGAGGGAGAAAGAAGCTGGAGGCAAGCTCATAAAGGGCCGTGCACACAGTGGTGCAACAGATTTCTATGTTCTCTTGAGGTACTGGGAAGTCACTGAAGGATTTTAACAAGGTGAGCCACATGATCTATTTGTGTATATTCTGGGTGTACAGTTGAGAATAAATTGTCATCAAGTAACTTCCGTGCCCCTCCCCGTCTTTATTGAGTTATAATTGACATATAGCATTATATTAGGGGGCCAGCCCCATGGCCGAGTGATTAAAGTTCTGCACGCTTCCTTTCGGTGGCCCGGGTTGACAGGTTTGGATCCCAGGTGCAGACCTACTCCACTCATCAGCCACACTGTGAAGGCATCCCACATACAAAGTAGAGGAGGACTGGCACAGATGTTAGCTCAGGGCTAATTGTCCTCAAGCAGGAAAAAAAAAAAAAAGAGGTGGATTAGCAATGGACATTGGCTCACGGTGAATCTTCCTCACACACACAAAATAATAATAATAATATATTACTTTCTCCTTTCTTAAAATCAAAATGTGCTTACCTTAGAATTATTTTATTCATATATGAATTAGTGGTTTGGATTTGAGGGACACAAGGCATCTAACAGAGAGACTAGTTAGAGAGGAGAGAGCAGGTATGGTGGCGAAGATGATGGTGGTGCATTGGAAGCAAGAACGAATGGATGAAGGAAGAGTTTGTAAAGTGGGCTATAATCAGGTCGGTAGGAAGTGCTCATTAAACGAAAGCTATCATCAGTCATTTGCACAGGAATTATTTGGCTTGTGGATATTAACTAATCTTGCCTTTAATACAAGACTGACTTTGCCACCCAGCAGAGCTGGCATATTTAGGCAAAACTCATTGATTATTACTGGCTTAGGTAAAGATAAAGCTTTAAAAAACTTAAAATATAATTCAAAGTCAAAGATTATCAGTGTAAGAAGTTTCCCTCCCAGCCATCATCCTCCCTCTCCTTCCTCAATAAAAGATTTCTCCACTGTTTTCAAGTTCTTAGGAATTCAAAATTCATTTTGGATGTTTGGTGGGTGGGTGAGGGTATTTGATTAATGAGAAGGGAGCATTCTAAGAATGAAAGGGCAGTGTCACATACACTACATAGGTCAAGAGCCTAAATCTCTTTCCTTGCCTGTTGTGTAGAAGGAATTTTGAGCCTGGAGTTGGCACCTGAGGAATCTAGCCCTAATGCTGTCGCTTATGAGCTATATAACCTTAAGAAGCTACTGCCCCTTGTGTGAGTCTTGGTTCCTCACCTTTAATGAGAAAAACATCTACCTCCCTTCTCTACGTCAGTGATTATCGAGAGGCTGAAATGAATTGGCATATGTGAAAATGATTTGAAAATAATAAATAAGAGTACCATAAGAGTACAGAATGGAATAATTACAGAGCAAATTAAATCTACATCCTTGAGCCTATGTCAGTGCAACTTCTTGTTTTCATCTATGAAATAAGGACTTCTAGGATTTATGCCTGCTCTTTTAGAGACTCATAGCATTTCAAACCTAAAAGCTTGCTATTATTTTTACTGCCTACAAGACTTTGGAAGCCAGCAGAATTGGATTTGGTGGGTTGGAATCCATCTGTTCTCATGTCATATCCCAGGATTTTAGACTTTTGAAAAGGTATTGGTTTTGTAACTAGAGCCATCTAGTGTTGAACTACTTAAGACACACACACATACACACTCATGCACGCACGCATGCATGCACGCACACCTACCTTTGCTTTGTGCTTTAGGAAATGACATTTGGTTCTCCTGAATGAATTTGCAATATCACATAATTTTAAAATTAAATGAGTACTTGGGAATTTATCTAAAGTTGAGGCTAAATCTAAAAGCCATGGCAGCAAGTGGGATGCTACCCAGCCCAGTCCTTTAAATGTGAGTTGAGTATCTTCCACTTCTCAGTCCCTGAGCTTTCTCATAGTCAGGACTGTATTTCAAGCATATTCTTGAAATTAGAGTTTAAGATGTCATCTTGTTTTGTTTTGTTTTGTTTCTGGCGAGAAAGGTTCACCCTGAGCTACCATCTGTGCCAATCTTCCTCTATTTTGTGTGTGGGTCACTGGCACAGCATGGCTTGATGAGTGGAGTAGGTCTGCACCTGGGATCCAAACCTGTGAATCCAGGCTGCCGAAACAGAGCACATGGACCTTTAACCACTCGGCCACGGGGCTGGCCTTGTCATCTTGTTTTTTTAAAAGCAATGTTATTTAGCTCAA